CCGAGGGAAGGGAGGGCTCGCGGGCATTCGAGCCCTAAGGGAAGCTCTGCCCAAGGGTGCACAGACCCAGGGGCACCCAGGAAAGGCTCTGATGGAGGTGCTGGGGTAAATCGTGCAGGTGGTCAGCGCTGAAAGAACCCAGAGCGGGCAGGAAACAGGCACTGACCTGGGCACGAGCAGCCTGGTTCTTTCAGGGGAGCCTGGGCTTGGTAGGCTTGTTGAGGTCGCTGGACGAGAAAACGTGAGATGTTGTGCAGACTGTAAAATACTGTTACTGCTAGTTGCTACGGTTCAACAGAAATTGGACGTCAGGCCTGCCTCTGCTTTCTGTTCCTTCGAGTCCTGCTCTCCAGGAAGGACTGACAAGCAGCGAGCACGGAGAATGTCTGGACTGTGGGACTGAGTTCATCTGGCTTTGCTGGCGGCAGACAGAGGCTCTTCTTCACTGATGGAAAACATCAAGGACAGGAGGCCCGGAGAAGAAAGGTGACCTTCAGGACCCGGGCTGGTACCCACGGAGACCTGCAAAACAGATGCAGGAATCACAGCCTCTTAAGTTTGCACACACTGTGCGAGGTTGTCCTTACACTTCGGAGCAGGCCTAGTTGTTACAATCCTCCCTGAGTCCATTTATTCAGCCCCCGCTCTGTGCCAGGACTGTGTTAGGCCTGTGGTTTCCAGAAGTCATCCAGAATCTGTTGCATCCTTAAAACTCTAGCATGTGCCCAGCCACTGTGGCTCAGGGGCTGAGCATCGACCCATGAACCAGGAGATCAGGGTTCGATTCCCGGTCAGGGCACATGCCCGGGTTTCGGGCTCAATCCCCAGTGGGGGGCGTGCAGGAGGCAGCCGATCTATGGCTCTCATCGCTGATGTTTCTCTCTCTCTCTCTCTCTCCCTTCCTCTCTCTCAAAAACAAAAACATTTTTTTAAAAAAAAAATCTCTACCATGTTACCCACCTAACACTAGTACTACATGTTAATATTCCCTTTGGACTATTAATATCATTCCTTTGACCCAAATGGCCAGACAACAGAGACAGTTTGGGAATTTACTTCCATGTCAAATCTTCGTTTCCCAGTTTCCAGTCTATCATTTTCTGCTCTCAGCTTTCTGCAGAATACATTCCCTTTCAGTTCCTTCCTTCTGTTTGTCACACAGCTAGATACACACACACACGGAGCTCAAACGCTGACAACTGCAGGACACTTCGCTCCCGAGGACCTCAGTGTCCTCACTTGAAGCTGGGTGTTGACCAAGGGCAGGCTCTCAGGACCCTCCCAAGCCTGTCTCTCTGAGGCCCTGAGGTTCTGCGCAGACAGGTCTAAGCACCCAGGTCGTGAGCAAAGTAAAGAATGTAAGTGCGCGCACATATATCCTTACGAAAGGGATGCAGAGGGAAATCTGACCCATACAAAAGAGGAGACAGTGTGGCCACAGGGGCAGAGACCAGGTGACCCAAGCCCAGGTCAAAGCCCAGGCGTGAAGGCCACCCCCAGGAGCCGGGAGCTAGAGGCCAGGGGCAGATTCTCCTGTCTGGAGGGAGCAGGGCCTTACCAACACTTTGATTTCTGCCCCGTGACACTGATTTCAGACTTATGACCTAAAAGAATACGTTGCTGCTGTCTGAACCCACAGAATCTGAGATACTTTATGGCAGCCGTAGGGAATTAACACAGACTCTGCAAGCACCTAGGAGAGCGGCTCACTCAGCGTTCCTGGGTCAAGCTTGGAGATGGATTCTGGCTGGTTTAGACCAAAAGACTCCCCTGGAAGGCTATGGGGTTCTCTTATGTGGTGCTTAAAGGATTGAGGGGGAGCTGGAGGAAGCTCAGGAAAAGGTGGGGACCCCAGAAGGCTTCAAACGTGATGTGGAAAAAATAACCCTTCAGGGAGGCAGCTGTCCCTGCCACTGGAAGCAGGAAATCAATTCTAGGCACCTCTTTTGTCTTTGTGTCACTTAGAGGATCCAAAATCCAGAAAGTAGAATTGGATGAGTCTTGGGTTGATTGGGGGGTGTCTCCCCCCATTTAGCTTCCTCAGCAGGAAGAACAGGAAGGGACCTCACGAGTCCTGCACGCGGAGGCTTCCTCCCAACATTCAGTAGGGGTTTTGGGTGTTAACAACCAGAAACAACAATAACAAAAATACCCATGCCAGGAGACACCTAATCCAGTCTTGGGGAGCTCTGGGGGGAAAGGGATATTTAAATTGAAACCCAAAGAACGAGTAGTTGGCCGTGGGTGTTCGCAGATGTGAAGCATTTCACACACACACACCCCAGATATGTTGGTATCTCAGCTGACAGTCGGCATTAAAAAGGACCAGCCCCCTCTCCATTCGTCCGTGTCTCATTACTTCACTCCTGATTACAAAGTGTGAAACCAACTCGAAGGGTTTTGGAAAAAGGAAAAAAGGAGAACTTGGGGTCGAAACGAAAGGAGACCCCGTATGACCCCTCTGGACTTCCCTGGGCATGTCCCATGTGTCACCGACAGAGCAGGCCGGCCACCGTGGCAGCTCAGGAAGTGTGTGTCATGCTGCTTCGCAACCCGCAGTTTGTGTGACCAACTCCTCAGCTGGACACAGACGAGTGTACAGTCTCTCTGGAGGTTATACCCGCGAGTCACAATTCTACCTCGAGATGAAGGAGCAAAACCATTCTTTGCCGGGGTGGCTGCCCGCAGCGCCTGAGACGCAGCAGAGCTCTGACGCCTCCAGGTGAGACGTCTCAGAAGGCCAGAGGGAGGGCCACGGGGACGGACGGACGGCACGTTTCAGGAACAGGCTGGAAATAAATCCTTTTAACACCAGCCTCCGGGAGAGGCAGAGCAGATCCAGTCCCGGGGCCTCTCAGCCAGGGCGCCGCTGCTGGGCTGGTGGTCAGTGGAATCCGTGGGATTTATGTCAGACACAATCTCTCAACACTGTTGTTGTTTTTTCAAAAATATGTTTATTGATTTCAGAGAGAGGAAGGGAAAGGGAGAGAGAAAAAGAAACATCAATGATGAGAGTAATTGATCGGCTGCCTCCTGCACACCCCCCACTGGGGATCGAGCCCGCAACCCTGGGCATGTGCCCTGATCGGGAATCAATCCCTGACCTCCTGGATCATAGGTCGAGGCTCACCACTGTTCTTAAATTGGGTCTTTATACCCAGAAGTTTCCTGGGAAGATGTAATACTCATGATCTATGGGTAAGATTAAAAGAAAACATACTGAACACAAAGCAGATCCAGCTGTTCACACATCTCCTGGGTTGCCGTTGGTATAAATAAGCCTACAAGCAAGTGATTCGCATTTAGGCCAGTGGAATTCACTGTCACTTTGTGCCAGGGGCTGCTCCCCCGCTTCTTGGTCTGTCCCTTACCCTGACATCCTCTTGTCCATCATCAACAGAACCACGTAAGAAACAAATCATTCCTGAAGGTTTCTCAAAACATTCTCAGTAAAATAAATTTTTCATTCTGTGCAAAAGTCAGTTTATTAAACCCGTCTTTACCTTACAACTAAGGGGTGACTGCTTTCAACAGTCTATTCATTCCATCGGTTTTTCAAAGGTTGCTCACTTTTTAATTTATAATTTAACGCCTACCCCCTTCTACCCCCACAACCCCATGGGGAAGTGAGTATAAAACTCTGGCGATATAAAATGCTCTTGAAAAAAATCCTGTCAGCCCTATGGACAGCTAGAATGACTTGCCCATTTCTACAGCTCTCACCACAGCAGCCTGCAGTCTCAACTCTCAGGAAAACAGAAAGCTCTTTGCTTTAAACGTGCCCGGAATGCCTGATCCGACGAGACAACTGTGATCTGTTGCTGCCACCAGCAGGTCACGCTCACAAAATGATCTTTTCCCCCTTGTTTCCAACTCATCATCTATAGATATTTCTTGCCCACCTAATCCTTAGATGAAATAACAAATCTCTTTCGCAGGTATTCTCAGTGACAATTAGTTTTAGAAAATACACTGTGCGTAACCTTTTCTTCTAGAAATGGACCTAGTCTGCCTCCTTCTCTTATTCCTTCTTTCATTTCCTTTCCTGAGCCCCATAATTCTTGCTTTTTTTAAGATTATTTTTCTGGCAAATGTATCTTAATTTGAGAACAAGTGGCTCTGGGTAAGAGGTAGAGGTCCACAGTCTACCACTCGGAATGACTACAAGATGCTCCTTAAATTTTCTTCTAGCTTACAGGGTTTTCTTTGTTGTTTTTTAAATTTATTTCTTTATATGTTTTTATTGATTTCAGAGAGAGGAAGGGAGGGAGAGAGAGAGAGACAGAATCATCAATGATGGGAGACATTCACTGATCGGCTGCCTCCTGCACGCCCCCTACTGGGGACTGAGGCCATAACCTGCGCAGGTGCCCTGACCAGGAATCGAACCATCACTCCAGGTTCACATGGGCGGGCCTGCTCACAGGTTTAGGGCTGGCACACGCAAGTGAATTCTAAAACCACATCGGACAGAATCAGACCCAGCTTCTACCACTAACCAGCACTGTGCTCTTGGGAAGTAGTTAACTTTTCTAGGCCTAAGTTTTATCCCTGTAAAATGGGGACAATAAAATCTCAGGAGTGTCAAGAGGAATACATGACATCATAAATATAAAGCATTCAGCAAATGACTGGCACATAGTAAGCGATCAGCAATTGATTCATTATTATTATTATTACCAGAAAGTGCAAAAATTAAGTGACTTCCGTACAATCAGAAGCCAAATCAATGGGAGAGCTCTGGCTAGAACCTTCAATTCAGACGAGACTGGGCGTGTTCAGGGTGGTATGGCCGTAGACAGAACCCTCAATTCAGATCACTGACTCGGAAGCCAGAGCTCTGACTGGCCCCTGCGGCGAGGCTGACTTTATATTCGTCCAATTAACATTAAGGATCTGCTTCCCTTGTAACCATTACCTTTTAAAATATTCCCTATGAAAATTCCTTAGCGGGCACCTGATAAAAGTGCATTAATTATGGAATTAAAAATAAACAATTGCATGAAGATAGATGTCTTTACTGTTTCAACATTTAAGAATATCTACAAAAAATTAAGCAGTTGACTGTGTATCAAAACCATGATGCACTTTGCAACAAACTGATTATTGTAATGTAAAAGTCTATTCGTTTTCAAAAGTTCCAGTTAGTTACTGTTATTTTTTAAGGGGGGCAAGGAAATGCCATGAAGTAATCTTTTGTTACAGAGCAGCAGTTTGGTTGGTTATATTCTGAAAAAAGAATGACACATTTTCTCTTATTCTCTGGAGAAAAGGATCTTTGAGATCTAAATGGTCTCCAGAAAAATGTTTCCATTGCTTCAGCTGCGACATGGAGAGAGGTTTCAGGAGGTCAGACTTGTGTGGACCGAGCTGGCAATTTCTAGAGACAGGGAGTTTTTTCAATGAATCACCTGCAACGAGTAAAAGGAGAAAATCCTAAACCAGATAAAATTCAGCTACATACAGTACTTTTTATTTTATGACATAACGAGTTTATGCAATTTATTACATATCCTTCTCTGATTTCGAGGGCCTGAGGGTCTACTGGGAGACACGGACAGTAAACAAATCATCATCCAAAGAGAGAAGTTACAGGTGTGCATTCCCCTATCTAAAACCTTTGGGACCAGAGGTATTTCCAAATTCAGAATATAATTGGAGTAATCTGGGACAGCACCCCATGATCAAGCCCATTAATATTCTGCAGCAAGTTTTATGAATAGTCCTGTGAAATGGGTTAAAGGCTATTGATAAATTCACATCAATTTTGGTAAGGTTTTTGCCACCAAATGAGTTTGTCGCAAATTTATAAAGAGAAAACAGGTTTTAGTCTTTCGAATTTTCTAGATTTCAAAATTGAAGACAAGGGACTATGGACTACTTACTACCTTATAAACAGAGGTAAAGGTAGTTTCTTTCCTAGGGCAGGGAGCCACAGCTCCCAGCTTCCACTGCAGTTCAATGCAGCCAGGGTCTAGCCTGTGGAACATGGACAGGAGTGATCTAGGCCATTCCAGGCCTGGCCTATAAAAATCTTCTCCACCACATGGTTTTCTACCTCTTTTTTCCTCCCACATGCTGCAGGCAGATGCAGGGGTCCCAGAAGGGACCCCTAATGCTTAAGGGGATGGCAGAGCCCAGGGTGGAAGGAACCCAGGTAACGGCCTTTCATTTCCATTCTCTGTAGTGTCTTTATCTGGTTTGGGAGTTAGGACGCCGCTGCCCTCGTAAACTCCTGAGCATCGCTTGCTCAAGTCCCAGTGGTGATCCAGTGCCTGCACGAATGGCGTTAGTTACAGGGGACCGATGTTTTTAGCTTCACTTAACCAGCACTCACAGTTCACCGAGTATGGGAAGCGCTAACCGCCTCGGAAAGGACGCCCGTTATGATTAAGGGCTACAGAAAATAAACAAAGAGCAAGACCATCCTATCAAGTGTATGTTTTCAGTGAAACAGAAATAAGCAGGAAAACATTTTTCTAATGCTGAAGCCATTATACCCGGATTTGAAAGATTTCTCTAAGCTAAATTTTCCACAGCTGGTTCAGAAATAAGCAGCAAAACTGAGAATGAGGCTCTGATTCATATTTTCTCAAATAGCTGCCTGTGACCTGAAGGGGGAAAAAGTAACGTATACAAATGGTAAATATTTTAGTTATTCTGTATTTACATATTTTCGACTGCTGAAGAGACAAATTAACTCGACCATCATCACAGAACTAAAATACAGCCCACCTGTGTGGTCTTGGTCTCCAGCACATTCACAGGCAAGCAGGTCATGGGTCACACAGGGCGAACTTCCATGGAATGTGAACAAATCTTTAAGTTCCTCTGCTGAAAACTGGATGTGTTCCGATGTCTTGGTTAGATCTACGACGGCCCCAGAGAGGCCCTGCTTACTGATCTGCCTTTGGTAGATCTTTTCTTCTATCGTACCTGAGGAGAAAACACTCATTAGGTCTACTCCAGATGGTTACGTCTGTTATTTCTGTAGGGTAAAATATGGTTAGCATACTAGTTAACAAAAGAACAATTACTAACACTGAAGCACAGATTAACAACAACAAAATGTTTTAATTATTCAAAGGAAATACATTTTTAGGCTCATCGAAGGGTTATTACCTGTGGTTAAGAGTCTGTAAATATGGACCGGATGTTTCTGACCGTCTCGCCACACTCTAGACATTGCCTGGGGAAATAAATGAGAATTCTAAGAGTACAGTTGAAACAAATGGCCTTTTCCACATAAGCAATTTGCATTTAAGACTAGGAATTCTAGATTTTACTCATAGCTTCAAAAACCAAAGCCCAGCATTATGTCAAAGCATTCCCCACTTCCTGAGAAAAAGAAGAGATGGATGGCCACTGTTGTACCGTAAAATAGTGGCGGGATGGCAGCAAAGTGAGAGCGCCCACCTGCATCACTGAATGGCACCGTGAGTTTAGACAGCAAGAATGCAAAGGGCCTCATGTAGCATGAGCATGGAGGGTTCATTCCCAGTCCCAGTAGCTCATGATTCCTCCCTAAAGAATCACGAGGATGCCTGCAACCAGTTCAGGCTCTAGGTAGTTCATGTGGTTTCAGGATCAATGATACTGTGCAGTAAAGGGTTCATGTTCAAAACTTGCACATTCCAAAGAAAAGTCTGGCCTTCCAACCAGCTCCTAGGAGATAACCTCTGCCCTTGGAATATCCTGCCGGATAAGAGGGTCTTTGTTTACCTGGGGCTTTGTGCCACACCAGACAGTTTATGCGAACAAGCGGTTCAGGTAAGGGCCTTGGGCCCTGTCCCATCAGTGTGCCCACTGGTGGGACTGGAGACGGAGTAACTAAGGTCAGTCACTCAAGTGCTTCGTGTCCACAGGACTAACCTCCAACAGAAACCCTGGACACCAAAATGCAAGGGAGATTCTGTTTGACAATACTCCATCCATAGTGTCACTCATCGATTCTCAGAGAATTAAGTGTTGTCCATACAACTCCACAGGGGAGGAAAACTGGAAGCTTTGCCTGGTCTCTTCTGGACTCTGCCCTATGTACCCTTTACCTTGACTGATTTTAGTCTGTCTCTTTTCGCTGTAATAAAAACACAGGTCCCAACAGAGGTGCAAGTCTATAAGTAGAAATCTCAAAACACATAAGGATAGGCTGTACTCTGAAGAATAGCAAAGGCTTCTTCTGAAATATTTCCCTACATAAGCCAATGTTGTATCTTTACTGTACTCTGCACAATCACTGATCGCAGCAACTGCAATACTTGACTGTCTTCCCCTGGTGGTCATAAGCATCCTGAAGTCCCAACTGCGCAGTGAATTAGAGCCCAGACACACACAGGTTTGGGTTTGAATCCTGGCTCTGCCTCTTGTAAGCTATGTGACCTAGAGCAAGCTTCCATATCTTCATCTGCAAAATGGGGCTATGCACACTGGCAAGAGTTATTGTGAAGACTGAGTAGATGGAAAGCACTTAGCAGAGTGCCTGATGCAACATCAGTTCTCACACATCACCACCTCCGTATCCCCAGCAGGTACATCCCCAGTGGGCATTCTATAAGGCTTATTTAATGCATAAAAAATAGTCCTACCTGGATATCAGTGGCTGGATTCCAATCAATGTCATAGAGAATTAAGTGAGATCCTCCAATAAGATTGAGTCCCACACCACCAGCTTTTGAACTTAATAAAAAAATAAAATCCAAAGAGTGTTTACTGTTGAAGCCATCAACAATGTGCTGCCTCTGAGAGACGGGTGTTTGTCCATCAAGTCTTTTGTAAGCATATCCATGACGCTTGCATACTTCTTGTAAAATATTCAAAGTTTGCGTGTAGTTGGATACCAACACCACCCTGTCAATCAAAAAGAAAGACTTGATATATGCAATTTAAAGGCAATATTAGGTTATTTTAATTGAAGGAAAAAGAGGCATTTGCCAGCCAGGTCATGAAGAATCTTGCCCAATGTGCTAAAGCATTTAGACATTTCTGGAAGACGACTGGGAGTCTTTGAACAGTTTTTATAAAGGGACTGACGTGTCGCATTTCTATTTTATTTCTATTTTAGAAATTCATTTAGGGCACTGTTGATATGTAATGGGGTTGAAAGTAAGAGAGAAATAAACGGTTTATAATAGACTATCATAACCCAAATCAGTAATTATAAGAATCAAAACAAAAATCTTGGTACCAGAAGGAAATGGATTCCTGAGATTAGGAAATAAAATCAACAGAACTTAGTTACTGACGATGTCGAGGACAAGAAGAGAAAGGGGGTCTAGCATGAGAAGGTTTTTTGTCTGCATTATGTCCCACTCATCAAGCTGAGGAATGATGAAAAATGACGGGCTCGCAATGGCAGAAGAATGACGCTGCTTCAGGACATGCGAAGCTTAAAACCCAGTAGGACATCACGACAGATTTCGATGTCCACTACACAGAATGAAGGGTGTGGAAACTAGGAGAGAGGGTTGACTGGAGACAGACTTGGACTATACAGGTGACAGTTAAAACTACGGGGAGTAGCGATCACCCAGGAAGGGTGTTCAGAGTACGGAGGTGGCTGAGGAGAATCAACACTGACGGGATGGTAAAGGAAAGGCCTTCAAAGAGATTAAGGTACAAGCTAGGTGTCATATGCCAAAAGTCATCTCTAGGGGTTTTTAAAATATATGTACTTATGTTTTGTTTTTTCTTAAATAAAAACTTACAGACGCATTGCTAATGACAAGTTTAACAAATACTAGGAGCTGATCATGCCCCCAAAGAAAACTACTTACTGCTAATGTTTTCTTCTTTCGAAAGGAGGGGCGGGGCGGGGCCAGGCCAGGCGTGGCTCAGCAGCTGACCACGGACCTAGGACCTAGGTGATCGGGGTTCGATTCCCTGTCAGGGCACATGCCTGAGTTGCAGGCTAGGCAGCTGATCAATGACTCTGTCATCATTGATGTTTCTATCTCTCTCTCTCCCCCTCCTTTCCTCTCTCTGAAATCAATAAAGATATAAAAGAAAAGAAAAGAAAAGAAAAGAAAAGAAAAGAAAAGAAAAGAAAAGAAAAGAAAAGAAAAGGAGGGGCGGGAGTGAGGTCATACTCTAAGCCAAAACTCCACGAGCACTAACAAGCAGGGATCACATTGACCACTTACCTCTCAGTAGGACGAAGTTCGTGGATGGCAGCTAAGAGCTTTGCCAGCACCTGCAGTTTTCCTGACTCCTCCTCAGCGAACACAAGAGGGTCATAACCAGCCGGGAACACACTGGCCAAGCCTTCATATAAACTCTTCTCTTCATTTTCATTCCAAGTTGAGCTGCATTCTTTTTCCTGTTCAACAGAATGACCGACACTAAACTGACTGGCTATATCAATAAAAAACAGGAAGGGAGGCCAGGACAAATTAGTAGACAAGGTACCAAAGGGCATGGGGCACATCCTCGAGAAAGTAGAACCTCAAACCCATGAGCAGAGCCACACTGAAGAGACTCAGATCTTTGGGGGAAACCACACACAGGACCCCAGGGATCAGTGCACTCTGCCCTCTTAGATGCACATGACAGAAACCTCAGCTCCCAGCCTGACAGTCTCACACAACACTTACCTTTATGGAGTTGAACAGAAGGCAGGGGTGATTGCACAGTTTTTTAAGAGCACCTATGCATATCAGATGAGGACTACTTTCCAACGACCCTTGCAGACAGAACCTGACAGCCTGAGAACTCAGCAGCTTTTGGTAAAGCTTAATCTGTAGCACCCCCGGTCGGCAAAAGACCACATTCTCAATTTTAGGTGGAAGGTATTTATTTATGACTTCCTGGGTTCTTCTAAGGAAAAAGAGTCCTGTGAGGCAAGTGAGCTGAGCTGCTCTCCTCTCTCCCAGCTCCTTCTCTTCCTGTGAAAAAGTAGCAGACCTAAGTAGTGCTAAGATAAAAACACTTGCCGTTAAAACGAACATGAAATATTTTATGATGATCAACTAGTTACTTCCATTCGGATTTTTTTTTAACAGAATAAATGAAATACAAGTTTGGGAAAGGAAAATTTAGCATTTGGCCAACTTTAGGGTTTGCTATATATGTTGGGTAAATAAATACATGTGATTTATTTTTCAGTAATGCATCATAAACATTCTCCATGTTATAAAATACTTGCATAAACCATTGTGTTTACAGTTTCTGTTCCAAGGGAAATGTTCCATAAATGTCTGTTGACCAATTACCATATCTTATTAATTCTGAGACATACTTTTTTACACTGCATATTCTCTTAAATAGAACGCTTTTTTATAATTAGTGACTTCTTACAGTAATAACTGATAGCATGTTTCTCTTGTTGATATACATAATAGTGATCGTTTTAGAACTGTTAGTATCTTGGACTTAATGAAATACTGAGTATGCACAACATGTAGACTCTGTTTTCTTACCTCAGAAACATTTACTTCCAATTAGTTTGTTCCCTTTAGTATGTTTCTGATTTTTACCCTTACTACTAAATCTTTAAGCATATCTATGATTATTTCTTTATAATAAATTCCTAAAAGCTGTACAAGGCAACAAGGCATTCACCATTCTAAGGCTTTTGATACACCCCCCCCCAAACTATCCTGTTTGTACCAATTTACATCCCGACCAGTAAAGGCCACTACACTCATATACACTTGCTATTACTATGAAAATCTAACCAACTAAAACATCTACAGGAAAGTACAAAAGTTACTTCATGGTTATTTTGGTTTCCTTTTTTAACCCTCACCCGAGGATATGTTTTTATGGATTTTAGAGAGAGACAGAGGGAGAGAGCGGGGGTGGGGGAGAGAGAATCGCGGATGTGAGAGAAACATCAACTGGTTGCCTCCCATACACACCCCGACCGGGGATCGAACCCATGACCTTCTGGTGCACGGGCCGACGCTCCAACCAGCTGAGCCTCGCCGGCGAGGGCCACTTTGGTTCACTTCTCAATGCCAGCAAGGGTGAGCATTTTTACATGTTTACTGTCAATTATAATTCTTTATGAAGTACCTATTTATGAAATTTTAAAAAGTGATGTTATTTCCTAAAATAAGGAATACAGGAGTTGAAGGACTGTGAGGGGGGGAAAAATTCACTACACTAATATAATTTCTCCTAGATTAAAACTACCCAAGTTATACATAGTTTTCCCAAACATACTGCTCTTTTTATTTTTTTCATACTGTTCTTTTTGAACCTAAATTTATTTAAAAAAATTATACCTCAGAAGCAGAAGGTTGTTGCGAAATAATGATGGGTTCTTCATATATTTTTCTATACGATGACAAAGAGCCTAATATTCCTGGATTTACAAAATCAATTAATGCAAAAAATTCTTGCAGGTCATTCTGAACTGGAGTACCTAAGGAGAGGGAAGCGATGAGGTCAGGTTTGTGTTTTACAATCACAGGTCTACATAGAAATTTGTACTGTCTTCCTTAAGAGAGCTAAATGTAAGCCAAGTCCCTATAGCTGAGGGCAAAGCAGTAATTCTTATTATAACTGTATGACTTTGAACAAACTGCCTTAGCTCTTTCAGTTAAACTCAGGATATTTTTCATGGTAAATTTTGTATTTGTTAGCACCAAACAAAACTTTACTGGCTATATTAATAAAAAAACAGGAAGGGAGACCATGACAAAGTAGTAGACAAGGTACCAAAGGGCATGGGGCACACCCTCTAGAAAGCAGAACCTCAAACCCGTTTCACCCCTGGTTGAGCTCTATGGATGTGGAAATGCTCTGGGGAACAGATAGGAGGCTGGATCTGCTCTGAGCAGAACCATTACTGAAGAGACTCAGATCTTTGGGGAAAACCACACATACAACCCCAGGGATTCATCCAATCCACCCTCCTAGATTCACAAAAACCTCAGCTCCCAGCCCGACACAGTCTCACACACCATCGACGTAGTTCAACTCATTTACCCTCACAACAACTCTGTGAAGTAGACGGTATTATTATCCCTATTTCACAGATAAGGAAACTGAGGCATGGAGAAGTTAAGTAACTTGCCCAACATTGCACAGCTGTAAATATGACTTGGGAGTCAAGCACAGGCAGTCCAACCCCATCTCCGACATTCTTTGCCGGACCATTGTTTATTCCTCAAAAACCCAAAATCTGAGTTGCAGAAAATTACACAAGGATTTGAAAATTCAATCTTACCAAGGCTCAGTTATCACAGGTGTATTAGTATGAACCCCATCCAACACCACAGGTTCTTTGGGTGCCAAGCATCATATTACAGGTCTTACATGTTCAATGGGCAACAAGTCCATCACATCCACCCAAAAGTGAGTACTGACCAGTGAGAATTATTCCTCTCTCACAAGCAAGGCTCATGAGGGCCGTGGTTGTCTTAATGGCACTGTTCTTCAAGCGATGCCCTTCATCGCAGATCAGAAGATCAAATTTCATAGTCTTAATCTGATCCAGGGAACGGAGTAACATTTCATAACTGATAATCAGAACAGAATAAAATGGACATCTCATGAATTCTTCTATTTTGTGGTCCTAAGAAAAAAGGAAATATTTAACAAATCATGGGCAGAAACTGTATGAAATGAAAATTAAATAGCATATTTCTCACAGCCACTAATCAAGTATTAGAACAAGTTCACTCAAAACCAAACTGTATGCTAAGGCTCCATTTTTCCGCAAAGGAGGTGGAGAGTCACATGCGCTGAAAAGCTGCCACATTAGAGGGTGAAAATTGCAGTGTTGATTTGGAAAACTAGAGGTTTAGAAAATGACAGAGGCTAGACTTTTAAGTCTCTTACCTGATCGACAGTAAATGTTTTAATCCTCTCACTTCCTAACCATTTCTGAAATTCTTTCCTCCAGTTATTCACCAAACTTCCAGGGGTGACAATAAGTGTCCTCTTTATTACTGGCTTGCCTCCGTAGGGACCCTGACACTGCAGGGTCCAGATGAGTGAAATGCACTGCAGTGTTTTCCCTAAACCCATTTCATCAGCAAGAATAGCTCCACATCTGCCAGTCACTCTGTTAGAAATAATTACACTCCTTTAATCACAACAGGAAAATATTTTATCATCGCTCATTAGTCAAGAACCAGAAGCTGATATTTTGCAATTAAAACAAATCCTACCCCCCTAAATACTTTTTCTAGTTTTTCATTCATCTGATTTACAACATCTCTCCTTTGAATCTTTGATAACTGTATTCATTATATATTTATTGTCTACGAAATTACTAGACAATAAACAAGACAAGAGTGAGGCCCTGGTGCCCAGCTCCTAGGACTATGGTCCTGCTCCTGCACACCCAGCTCCTAGCAGGATGGCTGTTCTATGGTATCCATCAAGAACTACTTTTGAAATAAATGCACACATTAAGTATCACTCATCATTCCAACTAAATGCATGATGGATCCCCTGAGAATCACTGTATCAGACTCTTCCTAGAAAACCATCATGTTACAGGCTAAATCAAAACTCAGATTAGACTCAATGAATTATGTATTTTCCTACCTCATTCCCATCACACATTCATAAAGAAACATGACTCCTTCTTTCTGATGTGGTCGAAGGTGATATACAAGGTGAGGATCTATCACCACATCCACAACAGGGAAACCGCTCTTATTGAACATCCTCTGGTGGTCTTTGTTGGGTCGTGGCATCACAAGGGAATCTTAAGAAAAAGGTAAAACAGTGACTGTAAATGAACTGCAATTTCGCTTCATTGGCAACTACATTACCTTGCTTTAATTATGCATCAGATTGAACTGTTTGCCATCGTCTGTGGCAAAAAAACAAACAAAAACCTTCAAATTTACTAACACTAACCCTAAGCAAGGGTACAAAATTTTAAAAATAAAATCTCATGCCTTATTGATGTAAGACTTCATGCAAAGAATTACAAAGAGTTTTCTAAACTTCATCTACTCAAAGTGCTCTGAAACCACCATTGTCTAATAAGAAATCCACTAGGCCACACCACTTAATAGTTCAGTCAAAGCAAAGAGAACTATTCTACCCAACAGAAAGACAGGCTGGAAGCCTGCCAAGACGCACTTGCTAATGCCGGCGGCTTCTTACTCTGGAAGGCTCTCTTTAGTTCCAGTGCTGCGCACAGGGACAATGACCACCACTCCCATCAATCAGAGGATCTGAGGGCTTTCCACTGGCTTCGCCACCATTATCTGCTTCAAGTTAATCACTACACTCATGAGTGTCAAACTAATGAATCTTTGCAAAGCAGCATGAAGTAACCATGGAAGAATTAAGTAATTCTTTAGAGGTATGCTAATACGGTTTAAAAGATTTATTAAAATGCCACCAAAAAATCAAAATCAAATATAAATAGAGAGCAGGTCCCAACTTTAGATAAATCTGAAGGCATAATAAACTCATCCAAGTGACTTTTTGAATATATTTCTCTGTCTCCGAATAAGCGCCTTTCTCTCCCACTCCCCATGCCCTCTGCCACGCAACAGCACGGTCCAGAGAAGGAAGGGTAAAGGAGGGGGAGGAAACTTGTTAAAAGAGCAGGAGGGACACAGTATCTGGATAAAGGAAAAAGCAGAAACACAAGCTTCCACTGTCTATATTTCAACTGAGTCTCAACAGGCTCAGAGAGAGCTGGACGTTTTTAAGCTGGGGTGTTTACCCCAATTATGCCAATAACGTCTGAATTTAGGTGCGCCAGCTCATCTGTTTGCCTCACCTCCTCCAATGCAAAGTGAAGTAGCTCATCTCCACGACCTCCAAGGCGCCTTTATTTCAAAAACTGTTTCCATGATACTTGCAAGAAAGGAAAAGACTTAACTATGCCACTTCGTACACTTTCATTTTACTCCTGTTATGAAACAAGCCCACTCTATTCCCCAACCTCCCCACCGTGCCACAATTCAAATGTTCCCGTGTCCTCACCGAATGAGCAGCTCTCTGACGAGCTTTACCGCTGAGCCCGTACAAAAAAGGCATCAGGAAATACTTACTGAGTACATAATCAATTTATTTTTTTAATCAAAAACAGACTAGGTTTCATTTTTTAATGTGATTTTCAAGTTAAATTCATTAATGTGAAAATTAACTAATTGAGCAAAATTCTCAAGTAAAATTTGAATTCTTTATATGACATCTCATTATTCAACATTTTAATATGACAATGCAGGTAATCAAAACATAGTCTTCAAATTGGAAGTGTAAAAAAAATAATCCTGATTCATGAATTTACTAATTTTCCTCCTTCCTAAATGTCAGATTTTATCCCAAACCACACACATATGAATGTGTGTTTACATCTACAATTTGCATATTTTCCCTCAATGCACAGAATTTTTTATTAGTTTCTTGTAATTCACTAACTACATTGTTACTCAACATCAACATTCTCTCTTACAAATCAGATTGTGCATCTGAAGAATTATATACATACTTGCACCCAAAAACTTTAAAAGAAAATTTAAAGTTTAAATTCACATACCAAAAATCTTTTGACAGGAAAGACAGAATATTCAAACTATTTTTTAGCTCTTACTTGGTGCACATGGATCGTGGCGAGGTTTGCAATTTTGGAGACTGTTCTGCCTATTTTCCTTTGAATTTGGTTTATAGACACTTTTTAAAGGGTTAGTAAAACACTTCTGGGCAGCAGGAGAACTTGATACAGCAGGACTTCCTCCTCTATCCTGGAAACATCTGCCGCTGCTGAAATCGTCTGGGGAGATCACACCCATGACTTCTACCTCTTTCCCACCAATCACCATCGTATGGCCCTCTGCGATCTTCTCAAGCTCTTTGCATTTATATCCAGTGCCTTTAAATTGAGAACAAAGACAGTTAATTTCCTGACACTCTAAGATGACTGAATTAGTGATACCATAGTCACCTCCCTGTAACTGTACAGAAAAACTGTGCTTTGAACGCAAATAGCCTTGTATAACCCATTAGCCAGAATGAAAACATAATTTCTCATCTTGGCAAAAAACACACACAAAAAAAACAACAAAAAAACCCCTGGGAAATCAGAAAAAATAAATAATAATATAGCTATAAAAATTAGCCAAGTTTTACCTGTGGCCAGTGTGGCTCAGTTGGTTAGAGCATCACCCTGTGCACTAGAAGGTGACAGGTTTGATTCCCAGTGAGGGAACATACCCAGGCTGCCAGTTCAATCCTGGTCAGGGTGCATGCGGGAGGCAACGGGTCAATGTTTCTCTCCCGCAGATATATGTCTCTCTCTCTAAAATCAATAAAAAAATGTTTTTTAAAAAGTGGGTTATTTTATGAAATCAAGCCTGTTTGAATTATTATTAATTCAACAGACATGTATTAAGTGTTGCCTTGGGTGAGGATTGAAAAAAAAATTAACAATAAGCAGCAATGCAAAAAACCATGGCTGGTGTTAGGCATTCTGAATCTGCGGGCTCATTTGTATTAGTTTAAATCACGCTGGCAACATTTTATAACAGACATAATGGCAACCTCCAATGTAAATGTACAATCTAGGTCATGCCTAGCCATTATCTCCTTGCTCTTTTTAAATTTTCATTTGAAATTATTGAAATTAGATTTTATTCCACTCCTGATAACATCTTTTTCACTTTTAATCACTTAGCATTCTGCAAAGACTAAGGGGGGGAAGTGTACTAGGACAAACTGCTTCATCTCAGAAAAATGCCAAACTATATACAGCTGGCTGACCATTTGATTTTTTTGAGAAAAATCAATTTTTGGAGAAAATGAAACTATGAGATGGGATTTGCCTCATTGAGTTAATATACATAAGACTAAATAGTATGAGAAAAGTTTATGTTTATGAGATAATTTAGGCATAAAAGATCATCTTAATCTACCCCCTTTATAAAACCCAATCAGATTTCAATTATGTAACCAAAGGTATATACTAATTTTAGGCCAAATCACAAACATTAGGTAATTTCACAATACCTCTTCCAATGTCTTTGCCTCCCAAGTCCTTCAATGTAAGTGATTTTCCTTTGACAATGAGAACAGCGTCACCTTCCCACTTTTTGTGTTTTTTCTTTGAAGCCTTACACCAAACAACACTGAAATATTTAACCACGCTATCAGGTTCCACTTCTTGTTCCTTAGACACCGTTATGTCTTTAGACGATGAGTAAACTAGAATAAAAATATAAAATATAAACGACATTACTAAAGATCACTTCAATACCTAAAAGTAAAACCATTCAAACAAAAAGACACAAAAGGAAATCAGACTGCATCAAGAAGCATAAAGAATATTTGACCATATCATCTTAGCATTTTATAAACTGAGAAACTCAAATCAGGTGCTCGCATTACCATGTGTGCAATAAATGTAAATTTCTTATCTCAAACTCATACATACTCAGTTAAAGTAAAATGACATAATAATCACTGCAAACATTTTAAAACTCTAAGAATTTAAAATAATATTTCAACATCCATGGGAAAATATCTAAAATCATGTTTTGAACAACTGACTTAATAGTGATACAAGTCAGGAAAACTAAGATCACAAATTTCTCTGAAAGAAAAATCTGTAGTTTTTTCAAATAAGAACAAATGTAAAAGAGCAAAGTAGCAATGAGATTCAATTTCCTTAAAATACTTTTGCATCCCAGTTAGAGAGTAATCGGGCTGGGCCACTGATTCTAAGGCTCTAAGTTCCTTCTTACAAAAGCCTGTACTTTTCTCAAAAGCACTTCCAGAATCACCTTATAAACACATATCCAAGGTTAACTAGACTTATTATGGTGATTATTTCACAACATATAAAAAATAGTACATTGTACACTTGAAATTAGTATAATGTTACGTGTCGAAGATTTTCAACCAGTGTGTTGCAAGAATTTTTAGAACATGCAATACCTGCTGGACTCCCTCTCACCCACCCTGTGGAGCTCACCCCTGCTGAGGAGTACAGCCAGAGGCTCTTTCTGTGATGGAGCCTAACAGGCAGCCAGCGGGCGGAAGAAGGCGACACGGATCCCAGAGTGCCTCAGGACTTTTGTTGACCTGACTCTGGCCCAGTGCCAGAAAAAGCCAGCCTTTGTGTGCAGCTTGGTCCTTCCCACATGCACCCAGGCCCAGCACAGGCAGTCACAACCTATGGCTCCCCTGTAGCTCCAAACAAGTTGCTGAGGGCTAGCCACAGGCAGTGTCTTACAAGAATCCTGCACAAGAATCCCTCCCAAGAGGCCCAGAACCAACACACCCAGTGGCTAGCCTCAGACAACATCAGAGCAGGATCCAATAAGTTTCACAAGTGGCATATCCAAACGGAGATTTTGGCAGGCACCCAACCCTGCGGGGGCAAATTCCACATTGTGTGGCCAGCACCTGCATGGCAGCTTGCATGCCATGGCTGACATTGAGCCTCACAGTAAGCCAGCCTCAGGGTCGATCCCAAGCAGGAACAGGCCAATTGCAATCAAGACTCAATAACAACAGGAGGGCCCACATAACTGCACAAGAGACATTCCTGGAGCACCCAACTCAGGCAATCAAGAGGACTGCACCACTGGACCCAAGAGACTACTACTATATAAGGCCACCCTAGGAAGACTGGGAGTCACAGCAGCTCTATCTAATACATAGAAACAAACACACAGTGACAGCCAAAATGGAGAGACAAAGAAACAGGCTTCAATGAAAGAACAAGAGAAATCTCCAGAAAAAGAGCTAAATGACAAGGAGTCGGGCAATTTATCAGATATAGAGTTCAAAGCAATAGTTATAAGGATGCTCAACAGCATGAAAAAGAACATAGAAACCATAAAAAAAGAGCCAGAAATGAATAATATAATATCTGAAATGAATAACACCCTGGAAGGAATAGACAGTAGGTGGGATGAAGCAGAGGACTGCATCAGTGATTGGAAGACAAGATAGAAAAACACATTATCAGAGCAGCAAAAAGAAAAAATTATTTTAAAAAATGAGGACAGTTTTAAAAACCTTTGGGACAACATGAAACATAACAACATCTGCATCACAGAAGTACAAGGAGAGAAAGAGCCAAGGGATGGAGAACCTATTTGAAGAGATAATGACCGAAAACTTCCCTAACCAAATGCACTTTTGCTAAGTCAAATTTTGAATACCTAAATATTATCAGAATTTATCACTCCATCAGTTTTTAGTCAAGAAAACTTACCAGTTTTTAGATAAGTTGATAGCTGTCATGTGTGATTTTGGTTGTTTTACCAACCTTGATTTTCCCAGATAAAGTTTTTAGCATTAACAAAAAAACCCAGATGTTTTGATTAGTTTTTTAACCCTAAAAAAGCTTTGTGGTATGCTATTCGTTTTCTTTTTGCATTATTTCTACCAGTAGCAGTTACTGTGCATTAAATAAAAGACTGACAATATCTAAGACTGATGATATCTTTCTGCATTTTAAAAATTTGTTCCTGTTTTATACTGGGCAAGAGAAAAATGTAATTCCTCAGGATTGCTGTAAAACGGGGGGAGTGGGGGAGGGGGGAATGTCCTCATCAAATGGTTGTATTCCTAGGACCTAAAACAGTGACTGTTATAACCCCCTGCCAAAAAACAAACAAACAAGAAACAGAATACAACAAAAGACAGTAAACTCTGAGAATTCAGAAATTACCTATAATTAACTTTGAAATACCATAAGCTACTCAGACTTAGATATATCTTTCTTTTGCAGAAGAGCAGGATTAAGACCTAATCTGGCTGGGTTTGAATCTAGCCATGTGACCCTGACAAGTTATCTCTCTATGCCAATTTATGAATCTGTAAATAAATATAATATTAACACCTGCCTCACAGACTTGTGGGCATTAGATGAGCTAATATATGTAAAACACTTAGAACAGGACTTGTCATATAATAAGTACTCCTTAAATGTTACCTGCCATCATCATCATCATCTGGCCCTTCTGCCTTTGCCACTTAGTCCCGTTTTAACTGTAGGACAGGGCAGGAAAGGAAAAGTAATTCCAAAAAGTAGAGTGAAGACAAGTGGAAATAAAACATATATCGAACATCACCTCTTATATCTACCCTACTTGTCTTACATAAAATATTGACTAGTTTGAAACATCCCAGACTAACCACCCCTAACAATTCCACCATAACAGTACTTTTTCATTTCTGAACTTGGTTCTGATCTATTTCCCCCTTGACCCAGTCTTCCCAAATCAGTAACAAAAAAATGGTCAACATAAACAAGAGACTTAAAGCCCATCAGCAAGACTCACAAGGTAAAGATGCTTAAAACCATTCTTTGAAAAAACAAAAAGAGGTACAAAATTTCATGTTAATACTGATGGTGGACATTATAATCTTAATGATTCATAAGCACAGTCACTCCAGGGTTGGGTGGCTTAATTACGCACTGCATAAACCCAAGTCTTTAATAATCTTTCTTTCCTTCCAAAAGTTCTACATAAATATGCTGTTTTCAAGTGAGCACAAGAAAGTTAAAATGTTTTTTATATTATCAAGTTCAATAAAGAATGTAAGTACTCTTGCAAGCTGTATTTTTTTTTTTTAGTTTTAAAATTACCAAAACATACCAGAACTTTTAATATGCATTAACATAACTGCAATATAAATTTAAGATTTGAAACAGTTTTTATTACACTAAAAATATACAAACATTAATACACAAATTCCTTGAAACTGGTAATCAACCACAGTTTTCTTTATGTAATAAGAGATTGAATGTCAACTAAGGACAATTATCATTATATATAAAATAAACCTAGAGGGTATTTCTTTGCATTAAAGGTCACTTTCAGAATGATATTTTATGAGCATGACAGGGACTATACATCTCATCATATTTCTCAACACCTCGTCAAAGCATTATACGCAGTAAGTGCCAAAATAGAAAAAAATGAATAAAACTACAATATTTCCACATATTTAATCATCTGCCCAGCAATTTCATTTCATTTAAATATCATAAAAATTATTCATCCATTTCAATTCTCACATTCCAATCACTGAACATGTGAAACTTTACTTTTTTTAAAAACACACACACTGTAAATGGAAGTTTAAATGATACAATCACTTTGGGGGAAAATCTGTTTCTTAGAAAGTTAACTGTATACCTTCCCTAATCCAACATTATGGCCATAATAAATTTATGCAATACTATTCACAGAACTTTTATACATAATAGCCAAAATCTGGAAATGGCCCAGAAGTCCATCAAAAGATATTAGATAAACCAACTGTGGTATATTTATTTACACCACGGATACTACTCAGCAACAAAAAGCAGTGAATTACTGACAAGATGGATGCACCTGAGTGAATATTAAAAATGTTAAGATGGGTGAAAGAAAAACAGAAACAAAGGGTACATGCTATATGATTCCAAGTACTGAAGTTCTAAAACTTCATGAATTTTTTACAAAATTAGAATGGTTGCCAGAGGACTGATTAGAAAGGGACAAGAGGAAACTATCTGGGTTGAAGATAATGTTCTGAATTTGAGAGGGTTTTAAACTACAAAGGTGTCATTATCTGCCACTCATCACCTAAGTTTTGTGCATTTCAGTTTGTAAATCTTAACTTAAAAAAAATAAACCACATACACAAATAAATACTAAACTCCAGTTCATAATACTCATGCTGAAGTATTTAGTATTCTAATTCTGCAACTTGTTTTAAAGTAAGTTTTCTTGCCCGGCCGGGCGTGGCTCAGCGGTTGAGCATCGACCTAGGATCCAGATCACAGTTCGATTCCCGGTCGGGGCACAGGCCCAGGTTGCGGGCTCGATCCCCAGTAGGGGGCATGCAGGAGGCAGCGGATCAACGACTCTCTCATCATTGATGTTTCTCTCTCTTTCCCTCTCCCTTCCTCTCTCTGAAATCAATTTGTTTTTCCTAAAGTTTTCGTTGGAGTTCTCTATATACAGTATCATGTCCTCTGCAAATGAGTTTTATTTCCTCCTTTCCAACTTGGTTGCCTGATTTCTTCCTGATTGCTGTGGCCAGGACTTCCAGTGCCATGCTGAGCAAGAGTGGTGAGTGCATACCCGTCCTGTTGCCAATCTTGGAGTTTTTTCCCCTTGAGTATGATACTGGCAGTGGGTTTGTCATATATGGCCTTCATTACATTGAGGCATGTTCCTTCTATTCCCACTTTGTTG